ATGGAAATACATGATATTGAAGCTGAACACCCTTATATAGCAGATAATTAACAGAGCGAGCTAAAGCACTTACATAATCATCATAACGATCAAACCTTAGCAGTAATTGTCTTGGTGCGAGTAAACCGATGATACATCGACCTTTAACACCTAAGTGTTTGGGCAGTAAATCTCGTTGCTCATTGAGTTCTGGTGCTCCTGGAGATACTTTCATCACTACTGATTGATGCAAGCCTTCCTCCACAACAAACTGTTGTCGTTCTTCTAAGGAAAACAGTACAGTTGGCTCTCCATGGATGAACTGGACTGGTTTGAGTTTTGGAGTTGTGCGAGGTATGGGGTCTATTTTTGTTGAGTTTTGCTGAGCATATGTGGGTTTTATTGGTGGCTCTCCCACAGCCAAAGGCTGGGGAGAGACGACAGCATCCATGGCTACTCAAAACGTCACCATATCATTGACGTGAAGAACTGAAAATAACAAAAAAATCTGGAAAATTCTGCTTGCTACAGTAAATTGCGAAATAGAATTTAAGATCTAGAAAAATAGGTTATGAATTTGAGGATGAAACCAGTTGGGGATTGATCTCTAAGAGAAGGGGGTTCTTTTAAGACCAATGTTGTGATATTACCTTGCCGGATGCCGGAGTTATGTCCCGGTGAATAGTGACGGAATTACTATTCACCTTCTTCCTAGAGAGAAGGAGGAGGATTTTAGAGAGAAGCGAGGCGTCTTCCCCTAATAAGCTTTTTTTGTTTAAAGGGTATTTTTAGGAAAGAGCGGAAACTCATCAAGCACCGCTATGTTGATAATATGCGCGAGTGGAGTATGATGTTGAATGCATGCTTTATGCAAAAATAGTAACACATTGCCAGATATTTGCATGATGAAAGTACGTAAAAAAAATAGTAAGTAATATGGTAAAGCTGAACAGGAGAAAGAAAAGAAAAAAGGGAAAGACAAAAGAGAGAAGTTAGTTTAAATCATAAAAATGTGCGAGAACGCAATTGAATGAAGCAAATAGGGAGATAGGGATAGGAGGTACATGATATAGCTGTCTTAGACAAGATGAAGAAATAGAGGAGGGATGTACATGTCATAGCAATTTAAACAAAGGGAAACAGGGAGGGGATGTTCATGTCATAGATATTTAGATAAATAAAGTAAAATAAGGGAAGGGATGTACATGTCATAGCAATTTAAAAAAATAAAAGAAAATAAGGGAAAGAATGTACATGTCATCAAATAATCTATTAATCCATATAAGTCAACTTTATTATGGTAAGAGCCTAAGTATATCCCCAGCAGAGTCATCATGCTGATGCCCCATTTTCTCGTGAATGAGGGTTTCGACATGTGACAACTCTTTTAGATGGGTATTAAAAGAGAAGAGTCGTCACCTAATGATTTTTAAAGTGTGTTACGATACCTGTTTTCAAATAACTCTATTTAACTAGTCTACATCACCAAAGATCGGGTAAGGGCTCAAATTACCTCAAAGAGAAGGTGTTAGGCACTCTTTGAGGTCCATAACTATGGGTCCCGGCTGAAGCTTACGCTATGTGAGATTATCGGATTGTTATTGTCTTATGTGATCATGTAAGTAATTTGAAAGTTCTACTATGATGTAAACAAATGTAAAGAAAATTGCACAAGAATTAATCTATAAATAATCAGTACAAGTCTCTAGAGGTTACAAGATACAACTTAATTATTCTAAGTTCAAGCGATGAAGTGTGAACAATAAACATATTAAGGAGGGGTTCCTAAGTTTTTTAGCCTAAAGGATCACCCCATGCAACATAAATAATACTTCACAACTCTCTTTGGATATGAGTTGCTCATATTGTTCAGCGGGCACAGAGTATCATCTCCTGCTACCCAATTACTATGTTAGAGTTGTTTACCTAAAGCGCTCTAATTCAATTCTAAACTATATCATATGCGTGCATTACCCGTCCCATGCCTATGGTTCAAGAGGCTTTGGACCTACTATTTGGTGGTTCTAGACTTTACATAAGGTGCTCAAAATGATGAAACTAGGCGCACATTCAAAACATGTTGGACTACACGTAAATACAATAAGTGGCTCAAGATAGCCACCACACATAAGCAACAAAGGCACACGGTAATATTCTTGTATTACATAGTAGACAGTTTTAGAATCAACATGTATTTAGAGTCGTTAAGTCCTACATGCATAGCTTCTATGAATTCTGATTGCAAGCATCGTACATGCAGCCTTGTTGTTTTAGACTAATGAATTTTCAAATTATAGGTATTACAAACCCTATAGGCATGATCTCTAAATTGTTTGCACAACGAGGCAGTAAAGCAGTTTGAGAATTCAGAATTACCAATGTTTGATTTTATAGACATGCTTCTTAGGCGAGTAACAATATCTTATAGGTAGGATTTCTAAAAGTTGGCATTCGAACTTGATTTTATCATACTTATCCCTAAAGGCATGTCATTTAGGTACGGCAGTATGATGAAAACAACAAAAAGCAGTCGATTAATTAATTAAAACCCTATAATCATGAAATCTTGATGAGTATTAGCAAACGCATGTATTATTGCATCCTATAGGCATGTTGTGTGACAACCCGGCCGGTAGTCTTAAGAATTTAATGCCCCAATCCACTTTACTACTTTCCCCGAGCTTATTTCTGCTATTTTGATTTGCCGGGATATTCGGTTTCGAGTTCCGGAGATTTTTGGGACATTTAGTCCCTAAACGAGAGCTTAAGTAATGGAAAGTTGACTGTAGTCGGAACAGTGTGAAGATAGCCTCGGAATGGAAATATAATGGTTCCGTTAGCTCCGTTAGGTGATTTCAGGCTTAGGGGCGTGTTTGGATTGTATTTTGGAGGTCCGTAGCTAATTTAGGCTTGAAATACCGAAATGACAAATTTTGAAGTTTCCGGTTCGATAGTGAGATTTTGATCCAAGGGTCGGAATGGAATTTCGGAAGTTGGAGTAGCTCTTTAGTGTTGAATGTGACGTGTGTGCAAAATTTCAAGTCATTCGGACGAGGTTTGATAGACTTTTTAATCGAAAGCGTATTTTGAGAATTTTGGAGTTCTTAGGCTTGAATCTGTGGTTGATTCGTCGTTTCGATGTTGTTTTAGGTGTTTTAAGGGTTGGTATAAGTTGGGACAGTGGTATTAGACTTGTTGGTGCCTTTGGTTGAGGTCTCGAGAGCCTCGGGATGATTTCGGATGGTTGACGGAAGGATTTTGGAGTTTGAAGTTTGCATCTTCAGCTAATATCTGCCATAACCGCACCTGCGGTTTGGGCTCCGCAGGTGCAGAGCCGACGAAGTGGCGGACCAACTGCAGAAGTTGAATTGGGGAGGATCAGCAGGTTCCGCAGATGCGGGAGACTTACCGCAGAAGCAGTGCCCCATCTACGAATGGGTAATCGCAGGTGCGGAATCTTGTCTTTAAGTGAGAAGTCGTAGATGTGACCTTGGATCCGCAGATGCGGTCCCAGGGTCGCAGATGTGGAAACAGAAATATGAAATTTCGAGGGTTTAGTTTCAAAAGTTGGTAATTCGATTTGGAGCTCGGGAAAGGGCGATTTTGAGAGGAAATTGAAGAGGAGATCATTGGGTAACGATTCTTTAACCCTTTCTAGTTATATTCCATCAATCTATAGTTAGTTTCATCATTAATTTTGGATTTGGAGATGAAAATTTGGGAATAGTTGGAAGAAAGTTCTTAGACCTAAAATTCGACTTTTTATTGGGAATTTGACCTTAGATTTGGATAATTTTGGTATGCCTGAACTCGTGAGAGTATGAGGATTCTAAAAATGTAGAGTTTACCCGATTCCGAGGCGTGGGCCCAAGGGGCGTTTTGATCATTTTACCTAATTTTGCGTATTAGCTTAGAATTTCTTTGTAAAATCAGTTACTTGAAGTATTATTTACATTATGCAATTGAATTGAATAGATTTGGGCCATTTGGAGTCGAGTACTCGTGGCAAGAACGTGGTCTCGGGTTGATTATTGAGCTGGTTTGAGGTAAGTGACTTGCCTAACCTTGTGTGGGGGATCTTCCCCTTAGGATTTGGTATTATTGATAATTGAAATGCCTTGTACGTGAGGTGACGAGTGCGTACTTGTGCTAATTGTTGGAAATTCAATTTTTCATTAAGTAAATACTAGTATGTTTTCTTTCCTATTTTATTTTACTTGAACTATTAAGCTTGTTGTTAGCTTAGGAAAGTATGTCTAAGTGATTTAATTGCTTTATTTGTTCAAACTACTTTACCTGAATTTTGTGCAGCATGCTAGGCTAGGATTACTTGTTTGCCTTAATATGAAATTTGACATTTCTGAATATTTTCCTGTTGTTGCTGTGTATTTACATTGGGACTACGGATGTGGGATTCTGGTAGCTCCCCCCTTGTCTATTTACATTTGGGACTACGGATGTGGGATTCCGGTAGATCCCCCTGCACAGTTATATGAAACTACGGGAATGCACCCGGTAGATTCCCCTAGTACTGGATATTTACATTTGGGACTACGAAACGGGATTCCGGTAGATCCCTGTGCATTATGAGCTGGACTACGGGACTGGATCCCGGGAGATCCATTGTATATGTATATTTGGGACTACATGATAGTATCATGGGAGATCCCCGATTGTTATTTTGGTGCTAAGTCGTATTTCTTTCTGTGTTTGCCTTGTCTCTGTAATAGTTGTTGTTCCCCTTTTATATCTTGTGTTACTTTTACTGCTGTATTTATTTATGTTGTTCTGTTCTACACTGTCGGACTCTATATTTTATTTAACCTCAGTAGGGCCCTGACCTTCCTCGTCACTACCCGACCGAGGTTAGGCTTGATACTTACTGAGTACCGTTGTGGTATACTCATGCCCTTTTTGCGCATGTTTTTCATGTGCAGATCTAGGTACTTCGACTCAGACTTACCATCCTTGAGGTGAGGCGACCGTTCGGAGACTTCGAGGTATATTTGCTGCGTACGTAGACCGAGGAGTCTCTATCCACTCTCTCTTATAGTTATAGCCCTTCTGTATTTATTTTGTTTTAGACTATTCTGGAGTTAGAGCACTATGTAGAGATCCTTAGCTTGTGATTAATGGGTTTCCGGGTCTTGGAAGTATGTATTGGTTTGAGAGTTAGATATTGTGTATGTCGAGCGTCACTTTTAAACACTGTTTTATTCCTCTAATTCTTTCTTAAATTGTTTTATTTTCGCAATTTGGTTTATCTTTTGCAATTTAGGCTTACCTAGTTGTAGAGAACCGGGGTCGTGATAAGTTGGTATCAGAGCTCTAGGTTCATAGGAGTCATGGATCACAAGCCGGTTTATTAGAGTCTCGATGATCGGTACTGAGACTTATGTACTTATCTACGAGAGGCTATGTAATTGTTAGGAAAATTTCCACTTCATTTGA